CTATGCTGCAAGCAGGGACAGAGAGGAGGCGGCGATGACCACGGAGGGCCAGGTGTTACACAAGCTATCCTAGGGGTCACGACGGACAGCGATCTGGACCTGGGCTAGGCACAGCAAACCAGCGGACAGGCTTCCAGAACTGTTTCGTGGCCCTGCACCCCTCAGCACACCCCTTTACAGACCAATCTCCCACTGCTGAGCTGCCCCCAGAGACCCCACAAACCCTCCTGGAAGTCATGACGGGCCCCTTCTGATGCGGGGACCCCCGCGCCTCCTCTCAGGACGGACTCACTGTTGGAATGAGCCCTGCTCCCCTTCCGCTCTATCTCAGGGTGGCTGTGGCGGTGCTGGATCAGGAAGTGGGGATGCACGCAGCGGGGACCCCAAGCCCCGCGCACCGGGGCTCCGCAGCCCCACGGGCGGACTCGGCTGCTGGACGCGCCCCGCGAGAAGCGAGCACACCCGCGAACCAGCGCACTCACCCGCTCCGGGCCCCGCACCGCCATCCCAGGCCCCCGCTACGCCCTGTCCTCGCGGGGCCGCCCAGGCCGAGGCCGGACCCCCGCCCGCTTCTCGCCCCACAGCCGCGCGGGCAGCGTCCTCCCCGAGCCCGCGTGGACCGGGCGGCGCGGCCCGATGACGCCGCCGGAAGTCCCGCCCCGCGCCGACGGGCGCAGCCGTGCCCCGAGCTCCCGGCGGCCCCCGGGCGCAGCCTCACCCCGGGGCTCCCCAGCTCCCGGTCCACCTCTCAACCGGGTAACTTGTTATTTAAGCAGACCTAGCATTTCATTTCGTCTTCCATGCGTGTTATACCTTAGTAGGTGTGAAGCAGTTTGCTTCCCGCAAACTGCCACGTCTCATGGCAGGCTTCAGCAGCCGGACCCTAAGGCTGACAGCCGGACAAGGTCTAAGTCCTGGCTCCGTGCAGCAGCGTGTCACAGCTCCTGGGGCCCTCAAGTCGCTGAAGGTGCAGCGCCGCCGGATGGGGATCGTCCCTGCTGAGCAGGCCGTGCGCAGCTGTGCCTGCGGGACCGTCGGCGAGGCGAGCTGCAGACAGCGGCGGTGCCTTCAAGATTTATTTTATTGGAAAGGCAGATCAGATAGAGGAGAGACAAAGATCTTCCATCTGCTGGATCACTCCCCAAGTGAGCCCAGAGCTGAACCAATCCGAAGCCAGGAGCCAGGAGCTCTTCTGGGTCTCTCACGTGGGTGCAGGTACCCAAGGCTTTGGGCCATCCTCGACTGCTTTCCAGGGCACAAGCAGGGAGCTGGATGGGAGGTAGAGCTGCTGGGATTAGAACCAGCGCCCATATGGGATCCCAGTGCTGGCTCCATGAAAATATTGTCTCATTAAAACATTAGTGCACTAAGCAGATAATATATGTGAGCATAAGTGGAGTAGCTGGCTGTACATGCAGGGAGCAGCTGTCCCATGAGAGCAGCACGCAGTGGACATGGGGAGGGGTTCTCCACAGATGGCTGCCAGCAGAGGAGGTGAGGTGAGGCCTGTGGCACAACAGGCTATGCCGTTGCCAGCTGCATCGCATATTGCAGTGCTTGGTCTGAGTCCTGCCTCCCCTACGGGAGACCAGCTCCGGCTGACTGGAGAGCTTGCGAAGGATGCGTGGATCGGCGAGGAGATAAGAAGGAGAGACTTGGACCACTATGGCATGATGCTCCTAACGGACAACTCAGAAAAGTTGCCTTCTTTATTTATACACAAATCATCACAAGCTTTTGCACAACATCCAATTGCTTCATTTTTACTTCATCAGAAAATGATTACAAAATCAATCCTAAAAAACATTATTATTGTTTTACTTCAGAGAAAATATTTTCAGCAAGCTATTACTCATTCAAACCTGCACTGACCTGGCTGAAGCCAGGAACTCCATGGTTGGCAGCACATGTGGTTACATAGCGACAAGTGGTTTACTTATATCCAAAATCAATTTTCACTAAACATAAACTAATATTACTTAAAATATCAAGAGTATAGAATTAAAAGGAAAACTCATAAATGAAAGGAATTTATAAAGGCATATCATGGATTCTTCATTAAATCTTCTATTTAATCATGCATTAATTACATCACCTTCACCTAGTGCTGATTCAATTGTTTTTTGTTGCTTTGTTAAAGGGCAGTGAGAGGGATCAGGGCAACTGAGCCTTTCTACAAACAGAGGGCCTTTATAAACAGTCTTCTTTCCCTAAATGTGAATGCCAATATAAGGTAGAAGTTTTAGTAAACCGTTTTCTTTTCCCATATATAACTGCCAATATAAGGTAGACATTATAAGCCATTTTTAGGGAGGTTCACATTTGTCTCCCTTTACAAGCTACCCCTTGGGGCCTGGCGCTGTGGCCTAGTGGCTAAAGGCCTTGCCTTGAACGCACTAGGATCCCATGAGTGCCAATTCTAATCCCGGCAGCCCCACTTCCCATCCAGCTCCCTGTCTGTGGCCTGAGAAAGCAGTCAAGGACAGACCAAAGTCTTGGGACCCTGCTCCCGTGTGGGAGATCTGGAAGAGCTCCTGGCTTTGGATTGGCACAGCACTGGCCGTTGTGCTCGCTGCTGGAGTAGTGAATCATCGGACGGAAGATCTTTCTCTCTGTCTCTCCCCCTCTCTGGATATATCTGATTTTGCAATAAAAATAAATAAAAAGAAGATGCCCCATATGCTTTCTGCTTTCCGTGGTGAGAAACCGAAATGCATCATTTCATGTGTTGTAACAGTTCGAGATGCATGGTATACAAACTCTGTACCTCCGAGACTGCCACCTGTTCCAAGACGTTATCAAGCCGTTTCGTAAGGAAAACCTTACTTACATTGGGGCAAGCTCCAGGACAAAGGTGGGCACATAACAGGATGTTTGGGGACAGTGTGGGCTCGATTGTACTACTGCATGCTTTTAGCTGTGTGTCATTGCCTTATGTTGCTAAAGACGCTTTTACCATAACATGACCGGTCAGTTTGAAGTGCTATACCTTGCCACGCAGCCGGAAACTCCTGGTTCCCCTGCTCTCCGAGGAGCGGAGCTAGTCACGCTCGCTCCCTCAGCCCCAGCTGCACGGCTTCCCGCACTCCCCCACTGCTGAGCCTCACGAGGTTTCCTGGCCCAGCCTCAGGTGTCGTGGGCAATTAAAGAATGAAACAGTGGCTGGAACATTCCCTCGCACCCTCTACTTCTTGTGTCACTTTGTTCAACTAAATAAAGTGCTGTCACATGATTAAGCATGGCATAGGAAGGGTTACTATTTGAGAATTAGGGGACCAGTACCATGATGCTGTGGGTAAAGCTGCCGCCTGCAGTGCCAGCGTCCCATATGGGCACTGGCGTGTGTCCCGACTGCTCCACTTCCGACCTAGCTCCCTGCTAATAACCTGGGGAAAGCAGCGAATGACGGCCCGCGCCCTGTGCCCCGCCACCCTCACGACCTGGACGGAGCTCCTAGTTTCCGGCTTCAGCCTGGCCCAGCTCCAATCATCACACAAGCAAACTCGGCTCTAACTGCCTCTCAAATAAACAAATAATGCAGTGAGAGCATCTTGGTGTCATCAGAGTGGACTCGGACTGTTGAAAGGCCTGCCTCATGACATGCTCCTAAAAATGTGAGAAATGCTAAATCAGGCCCAGAGACCGTGAATGAGACCACAGGTTACGTAGCTCCGGCGTGCTCATCTGCAGTAAGCAGACATTGCTTTTCAGTTTGGTTTCTATTAGAAACAAACCACAAAGGAGCAGACATTGAGCCACACTGGGTTAAGCCTCCATTGGGATGCTGCGTTGCTTAAGCACCTGGGAAGGCCGCGGATGATCACACAAATCCTTGGGTTCCTGCCACCATGTGGGAAGCCCACCCGGAGCTCCTGGCCCCTGCTGGCACAGCGGCAGAGAAGCAGGGAACGGAAGCAGTGTACGGCTCTGACATGCTCCATCACTCCACCTTTTCTTTTTTTTTTTTTTTTTTTTTAATGATTTATTTTTATTATTTTTTCATTGGAAAGGCGGATATACAGAGAGGAGAGACAGAGAGGAAGATCTTCCGTCCGATGATTCACTCCCCAAGTGAGCCGCAATGGCCGGTACTGCACCAATCTAAAGCCAGGAGCCTCTTCCGGGTCTCCCGCGCGGGTGCAGGGTCCCAAAGCTTTGGGCTGTCCTCGACTGCTTTCCCAGGCCACAGGCAGGGAGCTGGAAGGGAAGCGGGGCTGCCGGGATTAGAACCGGCGCCCATATGGGATCCCGGGCGTGCAAGGCGAGGACCTTTAACCACTTGCGCCACCGCGCCGGGCCCACCTTTTCTTTTTTAAAAGAGATTTATTTGGGGCCTGGTGTCGTGGCCTAGTGGCTAAAGTCCTCACCTTGAATGTACCGGGATCCCATATGGGCACCAGTTCTAATCCCAGCAGCCCTGCTTCCCATCCAGCTCCCTGCCTGTGGCCTGGCAAAGCAGTTGAGGATGGCCCAAAGCCTTGGGTCCCTGCACCCTGCGTGGGAGACCCGGAAGAGATTCCTGGTTCCCGTCTTTGGATCAGCGCAGCACAGGCCACTGCGGACACTTGGGGAGTGAGTCATCGGATGGAAGATCTTCCTCTCTGTCTCTCCTCCTCTCTGTATATCTGACTTTCTAATAAAAATAAATAAATCTTTAAAAAAAGAGATTTATTTTTATTTGAAAGGCAGATTTACAGAAAGTGAAGAATTCAGAGATCTTGCATCACTGGTTCACTCCCCACACAGCCACAAAGACAAGCTGGACAGGTCCGAAGCCAGGAGAGGGGCTCCGACATGGGGGCAGGGGCCCAAGGGGTCAGCTCGTGCTGCTTTCCCAAGGAACATCAGCTGGAGCTGGATTGGAAGTTGGCCAGCCGGGACTCGAACCAGTACTCCAAGGAATTCCAGTACCATAGTCAGAGGGTTAACCTACTATGCCACAGCACCAGCTCCTCAAATAAATCTTTTAAAAAATTTTTCTGTCACACACCAACTGAGCTGGTACTAAATAATTCAACTTTTATTTTATTAATTAATATCCTGCATCTTAAAAAGGAAACAACAACAAAAAACTTGCCTGAGCCAGTAGAACAAAAGCAAAGGCAGAGGCAGAGAGAGTAAACAAAGTCAGCTGGCACAAGGAGGCAGAACCCTCCGGGAGTGGGCCTGGACCCAGGGGTGCGTCAGGATCTGAGACAGGGGCAGCCGCTCCGAAGGCTGGTATCTGAGAAGCCTGGAGATCAAGTCTCGTGCCCCCAAAGGCATGGTGAGAGGGAACTTCACATCCACCTAATGAAGCCAGGGAGAAGACAAAGTCTGCTTCATTCCTCTGGTTAATGTTGTCCCTGTCTTGCAGGCTCAAGGGCCCTGTTCTGGACCTTTGTAGGTAACCCTGTGTCTGCCCCTCTTCCTGTAGGCCCCACGGCCACCACCAACCAGCTTCCCCGTGTCCCACCTTGAGGATGCGGGCGTAGGTCTCGCTGTGAGAGGCACTCTCGAAGGGTGGGCTGCCCACCAGCAGCTCATAGCAGAGCACGCCAATGCACCACAGGTCCACCTTCTCATCGTACGTCCTCCCCTCGATCATCTCCGGGGGCAGGTAGTCCAGGGTGCCACACATCGTCTTTCTCCTAGAGGAAGACAGAGACTTCTGGAGGCCCCCTGCAGGGTCCCAGGACACGAGGAACCTGCCTTCCCCAGGGACACTAGCCTGGACGATCCCTGCTTGAACACGGAGGCAGGGAGACACCAACATTCCCCTGTAGTAAGATTCAAGGGTCAAAGGAGGCCAAGGCTGGAGCCCACCGATTCCATAGTTTGCACTAATTATTTACCTAATGATTTAGTCTGTGACACAGAATGTTCTCAGTACCAAGAAGGATCTGTGCCTGTTGTTGCAGCACCTGGGGTTAAGCCACTGCTTGCCACATGAGTACAGTGCAGAGGAATGCCAGTCTGAGTCCCAGCTGCTGCAGTCTAACTCCCTGGTAACAAACCTGGGAAGGCAGCAAAAGACGGCTCAAGTTCTCTGGCCACTCATGTGGAAGCTTGGGACGGAGTTTGTTTCCTGGCTCCAGCCTGGACCAGACTTTGCTGCTGCAGGCATTGGGGAGAGAATTAGTGGCTGAAGATGCCACTACGTGTGTCCCTCTCCCTTTTACCTTCCAAGTAAGAAAACCTAGAAAGAGACAAAGAGGAAAGCGAGGAAGAGGAGGAGGGAAGCGAGAGAGGAAAGGAAAGGGTGGGCGTAGATCAGTTATCTGGGAAACCCTGATGGCATAGCAGGGGAGCCAAGTAAGTTATGCTTTATGTATCAACAAAAAGCACACTCCTGGGAGTTATGGGAAAAAGTGTCATTTTTTTTCACATGGGGCCTCACTGGTCAAGTTATAGATTAATGAAGATGAAATAAATGGATCATATTAGGGAAAAAAAAAACAGTATTCAAACACATATCTAGGTTTGTATATGAGTCTTAGATGTAGAATTAACTCAAATGAATCATTTCTAAGTGGTCCCCAATATTCACCCTACGTGACCTACCTCAAAGAGATGGTGTGTACAGACCAGCCAAAGTCTGCAATCTTAATCTCCCCCCTGAAGCCCAGCAGCAGGTTCTCCGGCTTAATATCCCTGTGAATCACCTTCCTGTCATGGCAGTAGGTCAGGGCGTCAGCCAACTCCTCCATTATCTGTGTGAACAAAGAAAAAGCACTCAGGAAAGAAAGCTGGCCACATTGTCCCTATGAGGAGAAGGGGGTCATGAATGTGAATGTACTAGAATCTTGGCTACTGAAGCCAATACTCTTTGCTCCCTGACACCTCCCGCAATAGCACAGAGTGATGCTGAGTCAAACGGACGGCAGCACAAAGGACCTGAGTTATGAGAAAATAATACAGAATCTAGAAGACCGGCCATTCGGCAACAGTTTGACCCAATCCCTGCCCCTGGGATGCCCATGGTTCTGTTCTTTTTCTGGAACCCTCCTGTACAAGTCTACCAATTTCTAATCCAGTTTTACCCATTCATTTAGATAATTTCCTCATAGTCTTAATGAGGAATTTTATCATTATGCTTCTTTATAAGAGGTCGTGAGATTATAAGTTAAATTCTGGGGCTCAGTGCGGTAGCCTAGCAGCTAGAGTCCTCGGTCCTCGCTTTGCACATGCCAGTTCTAATCCCAGAGGCCTCGCTTCTCATTCAGTTCCCTGCTTGTGGCCTGGGAAGGCAGACGAACATAGCCCAAAGCCTTGGGACCCTACACCCGTGTGGGAGACCTGGAGGAGGCTCCGGGCTCCTGGCTTCAGATTGGCGCAGCACTAGCCGTTGCTGTCACTTGGGGAATCAATGGATAGAGGATCTTCCTCTCTGTCTCCCCTCCTCTCTCCTCTTTGTATATCTGACTTTCTAATAAAAATAAAATAAATCTTAAAAAATGTTAAATTCTGTTGTTTTGCAAAGCTGTAAATACATACACACTACTATCCTGTGGAGATATACTGGAGGTGACTGGAATATATAAATGTAAAAGGAACAATATATGTGTCCACATTTTTAAAAATTTTTGTTGGAAATGCAGATTTACAGAGAAAAGGAGAGACACAAAGATTTTTCATCTGCTGGCTCACTCCCGAAGGGGTTGCAATGGCCAGAGCTGAGCCAATCCAAAGTCGGGAGCTGCCTCTAGGCGTCTCACATCGGTGCAGGATCCCAAGGCCGGGTCATCCTCCACTACTTCCCTGGGTCATGGGCAGGGGGCTGGATGGGAAGTGGGTTAGCTGGGACTGAACCTGTTCACACAGGAGATCCCACCCATTGCAACATGAGGATTTAGCCACTGAGCCACCTCATCAGACCTGTGTCATATAAAATGCATGCAATGAAATCCAGGAACTTTAAAAAAAAGTCATCAGGACTAGTGCCATGCATCGCAAGCTAAGCCTCCACTTGTGATATCGGCATTCCATGTTAGTGCTGGTTTGAGTCCTGGTCATTCCACTTCCAATCCAGCTCCTTGCTGATGGCCTTGGAAAGCATCAGAGGATGGCCCCTGCACCCGTGAAGGAGACCCAGAAGAAGCAAAAAATCATCTGGAATTTAATCGCATTGCCTCTTTTGAGAACCTCTAAGCACGAGCGCTATACTATATTATACTGTACCACGCTGTAGTGTATAACTGTTTTCTATTTAGACTTAGACTCCAAGAGTTTTGAGGGGAGGTGAATAGAAAGTTGACTTCCCATTACATAAACATAAAACTCACTTGTGAAAATACTTCCATTTTAATGGAATGATTTTCTTCACTGAATAGTTTAAATACCCAACTTTACATAGAATAAGCTGTGTGCTGAGCTGCCTCAGTGGCTCAGACGGAGCAGTGGACAGCATAACCAGGTGCACAGGGAAGACATGGCAGTCCATAGGAACCTGCAGAGGACACCTGGCACCACAACAGAGGACAGAACAAATCAACCAACTACCCCAGCCAAGTGTTGGCAGTGAAAACTGGGCAAGCGGAGATGCTAAGGTGAACTATGTCAGCCAGTGGATTCTGGAGAGATTTCATCGTGCTTGGAATGACAAGATTGGAAGCAATTCAGACTGTTGGACTATCATAACCACTTGAGTAGTGCCCTCGGAGCGTGCCCCACATGGGGACCTGGGATGGGTGGGAGGCTGGGTGGGGTGTCTCTCTTCCCCCCTTATCCTAGAAACAGGAAGGAAAAAGGACAATGTGGAAACCATGGTTTACCCACTTGCCTCTAGCCCTCGACCTTCTGTACCCTAACCAAATGTAAAGATCATCAAAATAAAAAAAATTAAACACGGAAATAAGCTGTGTGCGGAGACTTAGAAAAATCTATCTATTGGCTGACTTTGTTGCATTTTTCCCGGGCAGGGAGGGGAGCGTTTGGTGTAGCCGGCAGGTGTTATCACCCCGCCCCGCGTGGAGCCCGCCCCGCGTGGAGCCGTGGCGCCCGGACCCCTCACCGTGGCTGTGCGCTGCTCGTCCAACGTGTGGCATTTCTGCAGCTCCTGGTAGAGCTCACCCCGCGGCGCATACTCCAGGATCAGGTATATCCGCCGAGAATCATGGAAATAGTTGTACAGACGCAGGATGTTGGGGTGCCTGAAAAGCGGATGGAGGAAGGCTCAGACCTCTCCTCGAGGCCCCCCACTTTCTCCTATTTCTGAAAGTTGCCTAAGTAGCTGATGGCTGTGGGAGCAGAAGCAAGGGGACCGAAGGGCGAAGGGCGTGGGGAAGAAGTGGACGCGGCTGGGGGACGGCCGGGGGCTCATGCCGGGGGTCCTCACTGGAGGTGGGCCTGGATCTCGATCTCCCTGCGCAGCTGGTGCTCCAGGCCCTCCCTTTCGATCTGCGACTTGAAGAGGACCTTCAGGGCCAGGATGAAACGGCTTTCCTTGAGCCGAGCCAGGTACACGTTGCCGAACTTGCCCTTGCCCAGGGGCCGCCCGATCTCGAAGTCCTCAATGGTGAGGCGTCGCCTGGCGGGAGGAGACGCGCTTCACCCGGGGCTGCGGGGAGCCACGGCCCGTCCCTGCACGCGTGGGGAGCCAGCCCGTCCCTACACGCGTGGGGAGCCAGCCCCGTCCCTGCACGCGTGGGGAACCAACCCCGTCCCTGCACGCGTGGGGAGCCAGCCCGTCCCCGCACGCATGGGGAGCCAGCCCGTCCCCGCACGCGTGGGAAGCCAGTCCGTCCCTACACGCGTGGGGAGCCAGTCCGTCCCTACACGCGTGGGGAGCCAGCCCCGTCCCTACACGCGTGGGGAGCCAGCCCCGTCCCCGCCGCGTGGGGAGCCACGGCCCGTTCCTACACGCGTGGGGAGCCAGCCCCGTCCCTACACGCGTGGGGAGCCACGGCTCGTCCCTGCACGCGTGGGAGCCAGCCCGTCCCCCTGGTAGGGAGCCAGCCCGTCCCTGCACGCGTGGGGAGCCAGCCCCGTCCCTGCACGCGTGGGGAGCCAGCCCGTCCCCGCACGCGTGGGGAGCCAGCCCATCCCTGCACGCGTGGGGAGCCAGCCCGTCCCTGCACGCGTGGGGAGCCAGCCCGTCCCGCCCAGCCCCCGCACTCACGCGCTCGGGATGCCGTCCATGGCTGCTCAGGGCGCTGGCCGAGGGCCGCGGGCGGCGGGGAGAGACGGCGGAGAGTGAGGGGCCGCGGTCCCGCACCCCACCCCGACCGGCCCCCCGCGACCCACCCGCTGTTGCAGGCTGAGGAGTTAATTAGCATTTGTTAAGCTTGGCTCCTGCAGGAAATGGGCTTGGTGCCACACCTGGGCTGTCAGACTCATCAGCATCCGATCTTCTGCTAGAGCCTTGGGGGAAAAGTATCGTGGCTGAATAAAGGGAGGCGAGAGAGACCTCTTCCTCCACTACCGGTCTCCTGTCGGTGTCTGATTCCCTGACCCTCGCCGTGTCCACGCTACCGGCTCTGCTGGTCGGAACAACCCGCGCCTCGGAACTGCCCGGCTGAGGGGAGGCCCGACGGCGGCTGCCCGGAACCCCTGAGGGGAGGCTCGACGGCGGCTGCCCGGAACCCCTGCGGGGAGGACCGACGGCGGCTGCCCGGAACCCCTGCGGGGAGGACCGACGGCGGCTTCCCGGAACCCCTGAGGGGAGGACCGACGGCGGCTTCCCGGAACTCGCGCGCCCGGGTTGGGCAGGTAGTTCCTGCTTCCCGTGGGCTGGAACCGTGGACAGCAGGCGGCGCCGCGGCCGATAGAAACGCCTGGGAGGCGAGTTTGGGCCCAGGCCTGGAGAGTGGGGGGCCGGAGCGAGCCGGAAGGGCCGGGGCTCGAACCCTCGGCGGCGGAACGCGGTGCGCGCGGGCCTCGGGGAGCGGAAGGCGACTTGCCAGCGCTGACTCCGGCTTATCCTAAGTCGGCTTGCTAGCTGGTTTACTCATCCGAATGAGCTGATCGGCTCTCTGGGGCTTGGCGATGCCAGCGTCCCCGTTAAAGTCTGCTCCGTTCTAGCCCAGCGTCCCATCCCTGCGTTTGGGAAGGCAGCGTGTGTAGAATTCAGGGGATAGTAGGCCAGTTAGGGTTTTTCTGGTCCCCAAGTTTTTATTTTTAATATGAAATTGCATTTCTCCCCCATGTCTCAACTGCCCTGGAGCACGCTTTCCCAAGGACACTCCCTCCTTGAGGAAGGAGAGGCAGATTAACACCGATTGGATTCATCGCCTAGAAGTGACCCGCCTAATATTATCAAGCAGATAGAGTCTGAATGATTAGCTTTCCATTAGAAAGGCAGTGAAGATCCCACCCTGCTGAGTATGTTCTAGAGCCAGGTGCCTGAAAGAATTCTTTCCTTTGTCCTTTGAGTAATCCCCTGGGATGGTGCGGAAAAGACCGTTTCCACCATTACCCTGGGTACTTTTCTTCCTCCTGCCACTGTGACAGGAGGTTGGCGGTTCTGCCTTGGGTCGCACGGAGCCCTCTCCTGCCACCACGGGAGGAGCCCATTTGCTCTTTTTTTCCTAAATAAACCTGTTGCGGGATGCGAGTGTGACCATGCCAGACATGTCTAGGGTTTGTTAAGGATTCTTTATTAACCAACCTTGATGATAACAGGGCCCACTAGAAATAGCAAATCATAAGTACATATGGTAATTCAGTCAATCAAAACCCCAAGAGGGGACCCAGTGGCTAGAGTCTTTGCCTTCAATGTGCCAGGATCCCATATGGTTGCCGGTTCTAATCCCGGCAGCTCCACTTCCCATCCAGCTCCCTGCCTGTGGCCTGGGAAAGCAGTCGAGGACGGCCCAAAGCCTTGGGACCCTGCACCCGTGTGGGAGACCTGGAGGAAGTTCCTGGCTTTGGATTGGTGCAGCATTGGCCGTTGCGGTCACTTGGGGAGTGAATCATTGGATGGAAGATCTTCCTCTCTGTGTCTCCTCCTCTCTGTATATCTGACTTTGCAATAAAAAAATAAATAAATCTTTGAAAAAAAAAAAAACCAAGAGGAACAAAGTCATTATCCTGAAGCCCATCTGTTAAGCTGAAGACCTATGTCCCAGCTTCCCCAGCAACATAAGTTATCCTAAGAGACAAGCAACGAATAACCTGGGCACACTTACAAAGTTGCAGACATTCACCTTTCCCTGGCATCTCTGCCCACATTCCATCACTGCTAGGCTTCACCTCTCCTCGAACTCCTGATAGTACACAAATTAGAAATAGAAAGTATCTTAGCATTAACATCTTCACTGACTCCCCAAGCAGTAAACAGGGGGTGAGGTATGCCGACACACAGGGGCCACGCTCAGGGGACACCTGTCCTCAGAGTCCGTCTGCCCGTGAGAAGCCAGAGAGCAAGTAGGTCCTGTGGAGTTGGAGTGCTGGAGCACATGACCAAGAGAGTGAGCCCCTCGCTCTCACCAGCCTGTATAGGGCTTGTTGCGGGAGTGGTTAGACCACAATGCAATACCGCCCCCTCAGGTTCCAGGTGATGATAGGTGAGCATCATAGGTGGGCAGGAGGGGACACCTATGTGGTGGTGGAGGGGTGGCTTCTAGGGTCTTGACCCTGAACTAGCTGCCTACCTCACTACAAATCCTGCTTTGCAAACTGGAATTGTTCACATGAAAATTCTTCCTTTGCGTGAGACAAGAAATGAGGTTGCTGCCATGTTTTTGCGTCTAACATCCTAGAAGAAGCAGACTGTGGCCCATGGGCTTGGGCTCCAGCCACCTGTGCAGGAGGTCTGCATGCGGTCTCTAGCCCCTGCCTTGTCAGAGCATTTGGGGAGTGAACAAGTGAATGCAAGATTCATCTTCTGTCTCTACCTTTCAAATATAAAAATAAAAACAAGTTTAATTTAAAATTTATTTTTGTTGGAAAGTCAAATTTTCAGAGACAAGCAGAGACAGAAAGATCTCTCATCCTCTGGTTCACTCCCCAAGTGGCTGCAGTGGCTGGAGCTAAACCGATCTGAAGCAAGGAGCCAGGAGCTCCCTCTGGGTTTCCCAAGTGGGTGCAGGGTCCCAAGGCTTTGGGCCGTCCTCTACCACCTTCCCAGGCCACAAGCAGGGAGCTGGATGGGAAGTGGAACAACTGGGACTAGAACCAGCACCTCTATGGAATTCCGAGGGGGCTAAAACCATGTTTAAAAGGAAAACAAGCAGTTACTTTCTTCTCCACTGGAGTAGTTAGGCATCTTGGTGCCAGGTGCCTGGGGCAGTTAGGGAGCTGGTCATTCCACTTGCCTTGATTAGCACCTCAAAAAGGTCCTCAAAATTGGATTAGCACATCAAAGATTTACATTTACTTACTCCACCAAAGGAAAGGATTTGCAATAGCACGTGTTCTAAAGTAAATGCATCCCTGTTATTATTTTTTTAAGATTTAATTTTTTATTGGAAAGGCAGATATACAGTGCTGGGGTCCGTGCAGTGGGTGTGGACAGCACAGAGGTGTGAAGAAAACAGCTCCCCTGCTGGCAAGACCCCAAGGAGCCTCCAGCTGTGGCAGGGCCTGGCGGATGTCTCTGGATACAGTCTCACCCCCATTTGCATGGACATTCAAGCACCCCCTGAGAATTCTGTAATCCATTGAGGCATGTTGTTTGCCCCTGTGAGATGTAACCTGGGAGTTAACCTTGCTGATAACGTCTTGGTGAGTGGGCCTTTAACAATTTACACACAGGAGCACAATGAAGCCCGTGCCGTTTCAGGACACTTTATTTTGTGCCTCCCATTCACCCTGCTTCAGAATCTAGCCCAAACATGCAGCATGCCTTCTGGGAAAGGGCTTGATAAGTATTCTAAAAATTAATGAAAGTGATGGGTTATGAGCTGAAACTGCTATGGCGCTAAATACAGTTGCTGTGTCCTTAAAGGTTAGCCTGTCCTTGCAACTCTTTGGGACATAGGACATGTATCTGTTTTAGCTGCTGTTGTAATTTTTTTGGCTAGAGGAATTATAGGGTACTCTTATTAATATCATAGAGATATGCTTTTAATTATTGTTTGTTTATTGAGGTGTAGAGCCTGCAGTTGTAGGGGGGGATTTAATGTTTGAAACTTTTTGTCTTGCATCTTATATTTTTTCTCTTTTGATGTTTTTTTTTTCCCATTAAGTGATAGATAAGTTGTAGAAACAGAAATGTAGTGGGAATGTATTACTAGTCAGCAGGTAACTAATCAGCAGGTATTACTAATCAGCATGTGCCTTGGCCCTGGAGTAGGCCTAATGCCTACTATTTTTTCTTTTAAGCTAGATATACAGAGAGGAGAGACAGAGAGGAAGATCTTCCATCCGATGATTCACTCCCCAAGTGACCGCAACGGCTGGTGCTGCACTGATCTGAAGCTTGGAGCCAGGAACTTCCTCCAGGTCTCCCACGTGGGTGCAGGGTCCCAAGGCGTTGGGCCGTCCTCGGCTGCTTTCCCAGGCCACAAGCAGGGAGCTAGAAGGGAAGTGGAGCAGCCAGGATTAGAACTGGCGCCCATATGGGATCTCGGCATGTTTAAGGCGATGACTTTAGCTGCTAGGCTACTGTGCTGGGCCCTAATGACTACTATTGAAGAGTTAATAATGGCTTGCTTTAGGAAACTGATTATAGTAACTTACAGAATTATCTTTAAGAGCACCTGGTTGACCATGAAGTAAAAAATTAATCAAACATCTGTGAATGCTGGATTGGTCGTGAACTTAAAAATACAACAATTAAACCTGTGTGCAGAAGTTTATGGTGTGTCTAAGAAAATGAAAAGGACAGCTTCTTGAGCTGTTGGCAGAGGGCGCAGTGTCTGTGTCTATTCACCGACTCCATGTACCCTTCGTGAGCTCCGAACTTGGCTGGAGCTGGGCTCTGGCGATACAGAAAGGAAATACAGAGAGGAAGAGCTTCTGTCTGCTGGTTCTTTCCCCAAGTGGCTGCAACGGCTGAGCTAAGCCAATCTGAAGCCAGGAGCCTCTTCCAGGTCTCCCACGCAGGTACAGGGTCCCAAGGCCTTGGCCGTCCTCTACTAGTTTCCCAGGACACAGGCAGGGAGCTGGATGGGAAGTGGGGCTGGTGGGGTACAAACTGGCGCCCATATGACATCCTGTCAGATACAAGGCGAGGATTTAACCACTAGGCTATCACACTGGGCCAATCTTTGTTAATCTAAATAAGGGAAACTTCAGCCCCGTATTTTTCCTTCATATTTGTCCTTACAGTTTTCAGTGGGAATATTGTTGCTCGCATGTTTGCTATTAATGGTCCTAAAGAATGCACATTAAATAACATTTATTCAGGGAACCCTATAATTCTGTAAGAACAGCAAGTGTGTGGGATCACGTTCTTTCCACCTTCCTACTGTGAAATGGAATCCTCCTTTCCGAGTGGTAAGGGCAAGCACACAGTGCCCAGGAGCAGGCCTGTCCTTCCGGGAGAGAGAAGACACGGGCCTTTCTCAGACAGCCCCGCCATCCAGAACTGAGGAGCACGGAGGCGAGAAAATGGTGCATTCCCTCTACC